AAATTTTGTGATATTTAATAATATCAATTATAAACACAGTTTTACATACGTTGGCAGACAAATTTTCCGTTTTATTCACAAGCAGTTCCAACCGCTCGCCACGCATAGCTATATTGTCAATATTTTTTACCATAATATCTTTAAGCTCATCTAATTCGCCATGAACTTTGGACAATCTATCAAGATCTTTTGATTCACTATAATGTTTCTAAAAAAAAGAAAGAATAATATATGTTGAGATAAATATAAGAATAATTTTTTATAGTATATAATTAGATCTATCATTACCATTTCATTGGCCAAAACACGGCCAAATTCTGTGTTCATGGCATAAGCTACGGCAGTTTGAGCACCTAGTCCGTATACGGCCAAAAATCTTCTCTTGATTTCATTGAGATACAAGAATGCTCTAGATCTTTGAAAATCCTGAAATTATATTTTGTTATTCAATCTTAATGTTTGCTAAGTACATTTTAGTAAGTTTAGCACATACATCATCGGTAATGCACATATAAATAAGGCGATTCTCGCATATGTAGTGAAAAAGATAAGGCCCTTGTGAGTATGTAAGTTTGTCATTGTCTGGTGGTATCTTTGCTAAGATCTTCGCTGTGACTTCCTCAAAGTTTCCAACACATGCAGCATGTTTCGCCAATATAATTGTACCACGAGCTACCACGCTGTATAAAATTGGCATTCTGGTATTCTGTAACAGAAGAGCATATATTCAATTAAATAAGATAATATTTAAAATTAAAGATATTTTCTTTATACATCTTTTTTAGTAATGGTAACTTCATTTCTTTTTAAATTTTTTTAAATTACCAGCAATAAATGATATAAATGATATTATTACCCAGTGGGATTTCTTTATCATATCTAATGACCAGATGTGCATTTTTTTCAAAGAATATATATATATTTCAAAGAATATATATATTTTTTCTGAATCAGAAAGAAGAATACAAATATATTTGACATTTATTTCTCTCATAAAAACATTCTTTGTATCTCTTTTCTATTTTTTTATGCACCAGCTGCACTAACTTGAAATGATATGAAAAACTTAATAACATTGAATATATAAGTGTTACTTTATTTTACATTTTATTAAATGTTTTAGATACAATGCTAAATATTGTTGTAAATATTGTTTGTTTCATTTTGTGAGATTATCTATGTTTCTATATTAATAAAATAACTCATTATAATAAAAACGATAATTTTATGCAAAATTTTATTTCTAATTTTATCTTATCCCTGCTTAACTGAGTTCTCCTGTATTCTTTTTCTGGTCGAGCGATCTGGTTACCTTAATCATATCTAACTGAAAACAAGACCACAGCAGACAATACGCAAATAACTGTCTGATCTGTCTCTAAGCACGCAAATTACTCGTTAAAAGCATCGTTAATGACACATATCAGCTATGACGTACGAGCAGCAATTGCCGGCGTAAATATCCTATGTATTCTTAATTTTAATCTTTGACAACTCGATGAAATGAGGTTAAATTTCAAGAATTCTTTTTTATTATCGAATAAGTTTTGCTATTTGGACGCGGAGATGTAGCTAGAGTACGTTCCTGACGAAAGAATAAATCGTCAATCCAATGTTCGACCTACCTTGGTACAAAACAAAATATTTAATTGAACGAACAGCTGCGCACTTTTCTATTTACGTTCTCGACGATGCAGTGTGCTGGTATCGTGCGACTTTGTGTCTATCCAATGATTAATCAATTGGTCGCTTCTGTTCGGAAATCTCGACAAAAACATCGAAACACTCTCCACGACTGTAAGATAGTTACATTTACGTGAAATTAACAATGAGTAAGTATGGATGACAGTTCGTCAGTGGCAACGTAGTTTGGTGGGGCATCTGACGTTTGTGCTCGTTTGCGCTCGTTTGAACTTGCGTACATTAAAAAGCGCGAAATTCAAAACGACAACGCGTCGAAGAACGTCAAGAGTAACCCAACCAAACTCCGGTGTAATCTAACTTAATCTGACTTTTATCTTAATTCTAACCTTAATTCTAGCTTCCGAAAAATAAAATGTTTTAAAGATATCATAATGTTTAAAAATGTTTTGGAAATATTTTTGAGACATTTTTTTAATAGTTTGTAATAGTTTAATAGTTTGGATATAATTTTATCTTAATTATTATTTTATTTTATATTATGTACATATCACACGAATATAAAGAAACTTATTGAAATGTAAAATTATTATTAATTATTGTTTTATTTCATATTATGTATATATCAAATACAAAAAAATGTTAATTATTGAAATGTAAAATTGATTAAAGATTAAACTATTAAAAAATATTGCATTTTTATATTTCTTTTTTTGAAAGAGATTTGAAGTTTTAAATATATGTTATTCACTCTTATTTCATATTTCTGCATTTCGTTATTAACGTGGAAAATTATATTGGAGAAAAATAAGTTGGAAATAGTCTTTTTTAATTTAATAATTTGAATTTCGAATAAATCCTAAGCTTCATGACTACATAATCTAATAGAATTCAGTCATCCACCTACATCAAGTGCACATTAAAGACTTAAAGGCTGTTACATATGAAACATCTGAACGTAGTAGCACAATATAACTTCTTTTAGGATGAAATTATTAATGTATATTTTATTAAATAATATAATAAAAATATAATTGAATATATATTTATATAGTTGCTTAGAATGTTTATGTACGTTTTATATTTCAATAATTTCATGTTAGCATAACAGCTTTTAGGTTGCACTAATCCAATATAATACGGGTGACTGAATTTGTTATAAGGATAACTTCAACCAGACATTGTTTTAATCCCTGATTAATTCAACCGGAAAGAATTGCTTATTGCAAAATTTCCAACTATATAAATTGTTATCCCTAAGATATATAATTTAATCTTCTTAGCCTATAACACATTTCTATATGTCAAATATAAAAAAAAATTAATTATTTTCTTTATTTTAGTATTAAATAGTACAAATATGACGTATTAATATGTTAATCAGTAATTATAAGGATTGGAAATTATTTTTATTATTTTTATAATTTGTCACATATTTGTTTCCTAAAATCCTGAAGCCACTAGTCGCAACAGACCGGCGCATGTGCCACCCACATCCGTAGAAAGCCGCGTTCTAATTCTGGACGACGATTCCGGACGACCATATCGATGTTCTCTCGGTTTCGCATAAATGTCGATCCGCCGGTGACTATGCCGACGACTATGTGACTATAATGGTGGAGGGAGATAGCCGAACGTAACACGAATAGATAACGGTGTCTTCGTCCCGAGGAAGGATGGTGTGATGTGCACGTGAAGAGCGAATCAGTGCCGCGAAGGCTGCGAGAAGACGACGTTTGTCGATCGACTATCCGATTCTTCAGGACGGTCCTGAGGAAAGCCTTCGAAATCTTTTCTAAGAGTTGTTTCTGAGACCGTGATCGTCTGCAGAATTTATCGTGACTCTCGTCGCTCTTGCTATTAATTATGGGTAAATATCCGACTTATTAATGTCGCTTAATACTCGAGATCATTCCTTTTTTGCTTGTAGAAAGTTCTTTGGAGTAATAGAATGTTTTCTTCGGATGATCTTCTTATCGAGAAGATTAAGTGCCGGTTGAATAAATCGGAATTGAGAGCAGATCAATACATACACGAAACTGATAAAAAAATGAAAAAAATGAGAAGTGAAAAAATGAGATTATGAACTAAAGAAGAGAAAATTAAAATTGATACTAAACACAGATGCAAGTGGAAGTGTGATAAAAGTTTGAAAAAAAATGTTAATTTTGCAAGAACTTTTTGATCTTTGATATTTTAGATTCTTTTCAATGAAGACTATAAATATAATTAATAACTAATTATTGTTTAGTTGAATATAAAATGTTAACGATAAAATGTTAACGATAAAATGTTAACGAAACTTTAAATATGCATATATTGTGTCATTAAATGATAGCAAATTAGCGAGTGATATAACTTTAGAAAGCAAGGAAAACATACCAAACGTAATATGAGATAAGGAATTTGATAATTTATCATTTCTCATATTTCACTTCAATGTCAGACGATAATGATGATTGATTATTCTAAATATGTTATACATTAAATTAAAAGATGGAAAAGAGTGAAAAAAATGAGAAATCCATATTCGTGTATAAAATTTTTGTTTTATAAATACATTTATAATATATTCAAATTTTTAATAAAAATATAAAATTAATTAATAAAATTAATTAGTAAAACTAAATGTGTTGTGTGCATGAAATAAAACATTTTTCTGATGTTTAATGATGGCTCAATATCTTTTTTACATTTATTACATTTTAAAACATAGTATACAAATGATCTATAAATTATAATTTATAACATAAAATAACAAGATATATTTGTTTATTTTATTGAAGAGATTTTTAATAAAATCGGCACGAATATATACAACATTCCAGAAAAGCGTAAGAGTGGAAAAGTATTACTCGGGAAATAACTACATGGAATTCAACGTTTTCGCACGGCACATTTGTCATCAATGAAAGACGTATATATACATAGATATGTTTCTATCTATCTTTCAATATCTCTCATTGACAGTTATCTTTTCATTAAGACATTACAATACAAACAATTTGACAAATATGCAATTTCCAGTTAGCATTCATTACAACTTTAAACCATTTTACTTATTAATTATTATTTATTATTATTATTAATCAATTATTATAAAATAATTTTTCATGAATTACCACAGTATAAGACATAATTTTAATGTTTGTATTTTTATCTCATGTATATATATATATAAATTTCAATCGGCAACAGTTCTTATATTTTAATATTTTTAAATTGAGACGTGGTGATCAAACCAGTCATGCTTGAAGCGTTAAAGGGACAGTTACGTTTCCCTTACCCTCGAAGATAATGCTTGTTTCTTTCAGTATTGATCCTGCGAAGGGTGCGTGGTCCCCTAGAAGTCCACAATGGGGGATTTCCCCTTTTAGTAGAGAAAATATAATTCCGAATAAAGGGATCGAATAAAACGTAAAGGATCGAATGTGTTTACTATTCTGTTGGTAGTATAAAAATAATTTTATGAAGATGGGCGTGTTACATATTGAAATACCTCAGCTACGATGCAAATAATTTATATAACTTACAAGAAAAGAAAACATTATGAATAGACTGTGTGAATATGATTAGCTGTTTTTCTTCATACTTCACATTCTTTACATTCTCTTTATTTGTTCGAGAAGACGACCGCAATAACGCGTATATAACTTTAAATGCCATGTTATTTGAACCTGTTGTCACTTGCCTCTTACTGTATCTTTCCGTTATCATCCTTTCTCCTGATTTTTAAACAATTGATCCGTTAGTAATGGAACCTGTATGTTGATAAAAACATTAAATGTTTTTCTTTGGTCCAGTGTACACACGATAAATTTGTTATTTTTAAAACCGGTTCATTATTACTTAGCATTTCTTAACGTTCTATCCATATTTATAAAAATATTATATTATCTATCGTTTTAAAATTATTTTTAGCCTTATAAGAAAAATTAACTTCGAAAATATTGAATATAATATTGATATTGATAAGAAATCTAAGTCAAGAACGTTCTGTGCATTTTTACTCTTTAAAAGATCTGATAGCAAATAAACACTTTTCTGAAGAGCATGAAATGTGACATATCTCATTTAAAAAGTGAAGATAATAATTGTTTTGTTTACGTAAATTACTCGTTTACGTAAATTGCTTTCATAATATATGATAATATCTATCATTTTAATCTAGGAGTTTTGGAAGAAACAGTAGATCCACGTGATTACACACAGAGTGTTAATTACCAAGCCAGCGGCCTCAAATAGCGGCTTTCCTCGAATGGAGGAGTTTATCTATAAGTAAAAATAGATTTTATCTCGCGGAAAAGAGCTGGTAAGGTGCTGTAAGGTGAAGGTATTGAAAACTTTACAGAAAGAATATTCTACGAACTCCGCATTATGCCGGCCCGTTGCGCCTCGTTGCACGTAATTGTATCGTGTACGCGTTAACCGGTCTCGCACGTATGCATATCATTATGTTATACCGAGAGTACGCACTGTACAAAGAGAACGCGAAACAATAAATGTACACCGCGTCCACTCCCCGTTTGCCGTTTTTAAGTAACGGCACGTCCGTAATTTCTTTTTCGGAGACGCGGAGCTCACGCCGATTTTCCATCGTAACAATGGCGCACGTGCGCGCATCCGCACATCGAAATTATATCTGTTTTGTAATTGAAATTACTTTCGTCGTTTTCCGCCTTCTTTTGGCAACTAAATGCATCGTAATTTAAAATCATTATATCCTGCATTACGGTAAACGACCAGATGACCTCGTTTAATGTCCATTTTATGAAACGTTTCCGCAACTCATAAAACCGGTTATGCATCGCGCGGATTCAATTTTTGTTACGGGAAAGAAATGGGTTGCAGTACGACTTTTTAAGCGATCGGCCATGTTGACTGTGAATATGGGGCCCTATTCTTGAAATATATCTACAATAATCATATTTGTTTTGAGAAAACGAAGAACAGATCTGAAAGTTTTTAGAGCCTTGTCCCTACATGTTTCTAAATCTATAATTGTCAGGAATTTGTGCATTACGAAATTTTTTGCACAGTATATGTAAAATGAGATACTGTGCAGTTTTCTGATAATTTAAATTGGTTCGACTGTGTTGCAACAAATCCTTGATTTAAATTTAGAACGGATTTGAAATAAAAAAAAGTGAAAACGGATCTAATCTGAATAATTTTAATTAAAAAGATTAAGAATATAATTTACTCAAATTGTATTTTTATTTTATGTACTTTATTTTAAAAATTTATTTATTAGTACGACATTTGACAGTGAAACTCTAATTAGAAAAGAATTTTATATGAAGGACTAAATAAAATAAACAAATAAAGGACAAAAGATTAAGATAAAGGACAAAATTGAGTTTTGAAAGAATAAATAAAGGCTAGCTAGCTACCTGAAATAAAAGACTCATTGTGGACGTATACTAGAGAATTTTCGTACGTGAAGTATGTCTGAAGAATAAGACTTTAAAGAGATAAATCCAGCGATTTTATGAATGAAATCACAAAACTGCCCATCCATTACAAAATTGTTAAGACAGCTGATTTTGAGCTGACAAAAATGCACATTTGTATTATACCTAAAATCATACACATACATATTAATTCTTTTGTGTTTTAATCTCTTATGTAATTAGAACTGTAACTATAATTATAAACTATAGAAATACAATAATTTATATTTTATTTTTATTTGCTTTTCAGATAGAACGCGACTTACATACGTCACAACTGCTGCCGTGGGCCTCGGCACGGCGGTTTTTTCCTCTGGTGGTGGTGGAATAGAAAACAGAAGCCTCAACCACCATCGAAATGGCGAAAAGTCGGAGAATTGAGCGACTTGATGGTGTTCCCGGTGAAATCGCTCGGTGCAATTCGTATGACAGAAATGGAATGCACACCATTGGGACTGAAATCTGGTTGGTTGAGAGATCGGACATTGCTCGTTATCGACCTCGAGGGGCGATTTATCACTGCCAGACATACACCCAAAATGGTCAATGTAAGAAGCTATGGAATTAATTTTTATTATTTATTTTTATTATAAGGAAGAAAAAATAAAATATAATTCTTTAGAGTGTTAACTTGTACCTCAGTATAAATATAATTCTCGCTGCACATTCATTGCACATTACATTATGCATTGCATATCTTGCTTTGCATATCTTAACAATAGACTTTAAAATAGAAAATAAATTAACGGAAACGCTATTGAGAGTTTAGGTATATATTCTACCGAACGTAGATCAAAACAATTGATCGATACGCGTTATAAACACGGTTCGCTCAGCCATGTTTTCCTTTCATTGTTACATATTTATTATTTATTCGATTAAAAATCAAAAATCAATCACTGCATCTTTTACATTTACATCTCTCTATGTAATGTTGAAGGTGTCACCTAGTATTTCCGGTTCTGTGCTTACGCTTCGCGCTCCAGGCATGATGTCGATATCGGTGGACCTTGCACAACTTCGCGGCAAAGGTTTCCGGGTTGCTGTGTGGGGTCAAGCGGTACCAGCACGTGATTGTGGCGAGGAACCTGCCCGATGGCTGTCACGGTTCCTTCTTCAGGAGGATGTCGGTCTTCGTTTAGTCTATTATCCATTAGATCGACCGGTGAGACCAGTGAGGCAGAGAAATATTAACGTTTTTCCTTTGGAAGAAGCGAGAGATATGGTAAGTATTTTATATGATATGTTTAATATAATTATTTATTATTATTAATATTAAGAATAATGTGAATAATAATTTTTATATTAATGTACAGAGTGTCCCATTTTAAAAGACCCATTGAAATATCTTTTTAAACGCTTTTCTAAAAAAATATTATCACATCTTATATACAATAATTATATACAATATTAATAATTTAATTAATATAAATAATTATAAGATTATTTTCTTTTTTATTTTATTTATTCCTGTATATCTAAATAATCTTTCAACTATTGTAATCATATCTTTCCTCTTTCAAGCATTCCTAACGGAAAGATCGCTCTTTAACTTCGCGCTATATTCCGCTACAACAAAGTTAGCCAATTTGATTTTCTTGCGTCATGCATCTGTTACTAACGTTACAATGATGAATGTCTCAATATAAATTAGATTGATTGTTGCGAGAAAACTTAAAAAAACTTAAACTTTGTATATCATTGAGAATCTTGATATAAAAGAATAATTAAAACTTAAATATATTTTTTAATTATATTTATAAATATAATTAAAAAAATATATTTAAATATAGCTTCATAATTTTGAATTATACATTGAATAAAAAATTATTTTCCTATGTTAAATGTTTTAAATAAAAATTGTAAGAGAAATATATCAACAGGGAGCCTATCCAGACGAAACAAGTTATAGTCTGATCAACGAAGCTTCAGTAGCAGAACTTAATAGCCGATTGGATGAGCCAGTCACGCCGCAGCAATTTCGTATGAATTTCGTGGTCAAGGGTGCCACCGCTTATGAGGAAGATAAATGGGATTGGGTGAAGATTGGAAACGTGATTATGAGAAACGTCAGGCCCTGCACAAGATGTATCTTTACTACAATAAATCCAGAAACCGGCACGAAACATCCCAATACGGAGCCTCTAAAGACTTTGAAAACGTACATATATATATTAAAAATATATAAAATTTCTTTAAGCAAATGCAATATGATACGATAGTAGTATAAAAGCGTACAAAAAATTATATTTTATTTAAGATATCAAAAAATTTAGCTAGTAGTAGTTAATGATAAAAAAATTGTGTTACAGTTACAGAGGAATAACCGATCCAGCAATTCGATCTGCAATTGGTGACAGTCCAATGATGGGAATTCATCTTGGGTTGCGTGGTCCAAATGGGATGATTCGCTTGGGTGATCCAATTTATGTGGGCATCCCAGAAGAGGAAGCTCCATCTGTGACTTCGCCATCATAGCTACATCGTTGGGACTCCTGCGAAATTTCAGAACACGAACTCGACGTAAACTTGATAGTCGAGAATAAAAATAATGTAACAGCGGAGTCCAGAATTGACAGTGAAATTGATAAAAATGCTAAAATTGATGTATGAAAATTGTGTACGCACAGTATGTAATATGAACTAAGGACAAATGAAGATTAGAAATAAGAATTGTAAAATTGTAAAACTGTATAATTATTAGAGATTGTTATCTTGTCGGAATGATAAATTTCATGTTGGGTCTAATTTTGTACGATTTAAATCTCTAATTTTTGCATCACACATGATAAAATGATAATATATATGATAATATATATATATATATATATATATATATATATATATGAGATATCTTTCTAAATATATTTTTGTATCATAAGTTTTTAATAAACTATTGATATTTTTTTATAAATAATATACAGATATATTTCATAGCAATATGTAAAAAATTTCTATTTTAAGTGGAAAGGTAAGATCACAGAGACACGCTTTGTTTTTTATTATAATAATATTTATTTGCACTACAAAAAACAACAGGGACGCTTTACATAGATTTAGAATTACGCTCGGTATAAGGACGAGAAACGCCGCGTTTTACATATTAACGATATTATTTTTCTTTAAATTAAATCGCTTATTGAATTTTCCCGCTTTGAGAAAATCCAAGAAGAGAAAATTTTTTTCTCCGACAGTTCACTGCGGTGACAGGCTGACTGTATTAATTATTACAAAGAAAAAATCCTTTTGGTTTCACTCTCTCTTTCTCTCTCTATTAACAGAATTTTAATTGTGTCTAAATTTCACAAGTTTTACGTCACCGCAATTTTCGAGGAGGAGAGAAGTAGGTATCGAAGATAAAAATTGGACAAGAAGGTATTGATAGAAACACAAGTGGGTAGAAACGATGAATGCCTGGCACTATTGTATTCCGGGATGAGCTATGTACAAGTATCTTGTTTGCCTTGTGTTCGACGATTAATCGAAACGTAACGTACGCGCATGAACAATCGAAGGGAAAATATTTTGTTCTTTGTTCTTCGATCCTTTTTACTTTGCACGCGTCTTACCCCTGTTAAATGAAACCGTAAGCCTTCCGTATAGTTCTAGATAAAAAAATAGATTATTTAATCTCTTAATTTAAGCGCGAATTGAAATATTTTTAGCCAAGAGATGACTCCCCGCGATTCGAGAGAGAGCGCGCGGAGAAATTCCCCGACCCGTGATCGTTGGTGCATGCATCATTTCATTCAAATTGTCAACGGAGAGCGTGTCGTATCACAAATTCAAAATGATTTTACAGTTTCACCGTCTTTCTTGATGTACTTCCATCGTACCATGGCGGCGCGAGCCACCACGCCGTAACGATTAAATTTCGATCGTCCTAAAACGACGACTGTGATTCGTGAAAATTTCTTTATTATTCATTATCATTATTCTAGTCGATTGAAAAGCAGAAATAATAGAAGTGCAAAGAGAGAGATAGGAAGAGAGAGAGAGAG